GTCCGTTGTGCTTTTCGGTTGCCACTGTAAACCATCGCATCATCTTTATCGGACGGAAGAGGGTCTTTCTCAGACTCTTCGATCGAATCGACCAAATCAATCGATTGACGACAAAAGGTGTTCAATGTATTATACTCGATTGCATAGTGGTGCATATGGTGGAAGCAGTGTGCAACGAAAATTAGGAGAAAGAAAGGAAGAGGAAAAGTCTGAGAAGACGACGAGATGCAAGAGTAGGAGGAGCTAGAGGGAAAATAAGAGGCTGTCGCGTTGCGGCGAATTGCAACGAGTTGCACAAAAGGAAGCGATCGCACGTCATACTTAACGAGAGCCTGATGCGCCTTCTCTGTCCCCATCCACCTCTCTTTGAGCCTTCTTTTCTTATCTTTCTCTCACCGAGCGTTCTCTCTTCCTTCTTTTCCTTTCCTGTGTCCGCATCGGCGTGCCACCGCTTTATTCTTTCCCCCCGCCTGGGTGCTCGTAGGCTCGAATCTCTGTTTATCTTTATCTTTTTTGGTTTAGTTTGTCGGCTTGCGGCTCGGCACCGTGATTACAGAGTACCCGCCACTCACCTCGGAAACTCTGGTGGTCCTCTCTCCGCCGCTCGCTCATCTCTTACAACCTTCTTTCCCCTGAATCTCAAACGCGCCAGGGACCCACGCGAGATGACGATGGATGGTATACGGCATGGTGTAGAAGCAAGTGGGACCAACCTACCATCGCCTCCCGTAGCTCCTCGTCCTTCATCCTCCTCCTTTTCCTCCTCCTCCTCTACCTTCTCCTTTTTCCTGTGCTGTTCTTCGACACTGTTCTTCCTCGTTACTTTATCCCCTTTCGCCCTTTTTCACTATCTTTCTCTTTCATCTTTTCTCTTCGTCTTATTCTTGGTCTGTCTCATCATCGAGCCTGCTCTCTTCTTCCCTTTCTCTTTTTTTCTATCTTTTCAGTTTTGTCTCATTTTATCCATTCTGTATATCCTCCGTTATCACTTCCTCCTTTTTCTATCCTTCCTTTCGTTAACGCTGCTTCTCTCTCTCTTTAGGCTGTCTTTCTCCTTTACTCTTTTCTTGTCTTTCTCTCTTCTTCACTTCCTTACTTTTCTCTTCTTGTGCACTAACTACCTGTGTCTTATTAGTGATACAGTCGACGCGAAAAGGTATTTGGGCTCGAGTGGGTGATGTGTTAATCAGACGATTCTGAGAGTCGACGCAACGCGACCTCCTATATGTGTAATGCTTTTGCCACGCTGTGTTACGAATTGATGGCTATTCAAAAACGATTACGATTACCAATAAAGAAAATATCGCAAAATAACATACAAGGTTTATTTGATTAAAAAAAGATATAAAAATTGTTAACTTTTATGTAAAAAAAAATTTTATGAGAATATAGAGTGTTCGTTTATTTTAACTTTTATTTAAAAAATTAAGGAAATTACATAATTATCTTCACCTATTATTGCAAGTTTTGTTAAAAAATATAAATAATAAACTATATATAAATAATAATAACAATCTGCGGTTAATTCCTATAGCCTATATACAGGGTGTTATTAACCGATTAAATCACCTGTCAAGAGCAGGTAGAGTAGACCGAACTAAGTCGACAAGTCTTATATCATTTTGCAGTTTATGCAATATTTAACAAGACATTAGACCTTAAAGACAGCCAAATAAACGCGTTTGTCCGGCCTACTATTGCCGAATATCCGCCATCATTAACTTAGCGCGCGGGGAGTGGGAAGCGTCCTATCCTGCGCTGCACACACAGCCGCGAACCTCTAAAATCGGACGACGCGCCTCAAATCATTCCCGCGCCTCGCGATCCACGCGCGTAGAGAGCGATTGGGCGCGTTCAGCGGACTCAACAGTTGAGTGAGCGCTCGCTGTTATTGGTGTATTCTTTTAGATCATCCAATCAGAATTTTAGATCTGGAAGAATGCACCAATAATAACGAGCGCTCACTCAACTGTTGAGTCCGCTGAATGAGCCCATTGAGAGGCGTACACGCTTGACAGTAGTAGGCCGGATGAACGCGTTTATTAGGCTATCTTTAAGTCTAATATCTCCTTAAATATTGCATAAATTGCAAAATGGTATAAGACTTTTCGACTCAGTTCGACCTACTCTACCTGCTCTTAATATATATAGGGTGTTTGAGAAGTAATGAAACATATTCCGTACAGGGGGTAGAATGGACTAAACTGAGAGTTCAAGTTTTACTTTACATATTTTATACAATAAGTTTTGTGAAAATGTTTTGTGTCATTACTTTTATGTTCATTTTACTCTATGACTTCTTTTATTTTATTTAACTTTCGTATTGTAAACTGACAAATCGTTTTCGTTGGTGAGTTAGACATTTCTTTTTGAATTTCGGTTCAAGAATTTCTTTTTGAATTTAATTTCATTATTTTCACATTTTTTGATTTTGTTCTCATGCCAAGTTACAGATACATTGTTTCAATATACGACTTTGCCATCTTGTATTGCCAATGTTGTGTAACGAAGGGAGAAATCGAGGAGTCAGTGAGAAATGTTTTGTCTTGATTATATGGAAATAAGGAATTTTTGTTGTACGTCTGAAGAGGACTCAAACCAAGAGTCGAAACTTGTTACGACATTTTACATCGAGCGATTTTTTATATTATTATATATTGACCGATATTCTAATTTTTAATTGTGTCTAAGGCGGTTAAGTATTTTATTGTATTCTTTTTCTTTAAAAATTCATATTATAATTTTTATGTTATAATCGCTTTTTTGTTTACTTACGAATTGACTCTCATTGTCCTTCACCTTGTTTTAATTATTATTTTCAAAAATTTAAAATTAAAAATTAATAAGAAGGCTCTATATGTATAAAACAATATAAAAATGTAACTAGGGCGTAGAGCCAATTTAATCTAACAAATTATTTTAATTCATATATTAATACAATAATACAAATTCAGACGTTTCGACACCGATCGGGTCATTTTCAATGATACAAAATCTACATTAAAATTAAACTATCGTTATACAATCTTCATAATACTAAAAAATCATAGATTCCGTGTATACATTTTGGACTTGGACTTCATATGTGTTTTTTTATCTTTGATCCTGATAAAGATATAAAATTTAAATTTGTTTAAAAAATTCAAATACTAAATGTTTTATTAACCTTGTCACAAAATATTAAAATCTAATACAAATATAAAAGTCATATATACCTTGTCAAAAATAAAATAAAAATTGTGATAAATCCATGTGTACAAGTAATTCTGCGTCAATTTATTATAAAATATGTTAGGTGTAATAAAATAAGATACTTTGCAGCTGTCAAAAACACGTATCAATGCTAAAGAAGATAAAATAATGTCGTTGGAATAGAAAGTCAAAGGATATAATAATAAAAATAACAAGGAAAGATAGATTTAAGACGAAGATAGGGAATGTATCATATTGGTGTACATTTCTGGCAATGACTCTGTGTCATTTTGTCTGTTTATACCGTGTGTCTGTTTTTTAATGTGTACCATTTCAGATATTAATCTCTTTTTATACGAAGGTTCGATATCTAAAATTTCAACATTATCTCACTTAAAATTATGATTTAACTTTAATCTATGTTCTGTTATTACAGAAGGGGATTTTGATACTTCCATTCACATCACCCCATGTGTCATAAAAGAAGTGTAATATACAGTGTTGTCGATAAAGTATTAAAATTATGTCATCCAACATTTCAGCAGAATAATTTAATAGAAGCTATTAATATATTTTTACAAAACGGATATCCTCTATATTTCATTTTTTCTTCGATTTACAATAGAGTAAAGTTCCATATTAATAATATTTCTAATAAAAATAATACTTCAAAAAAATTTTTTACAGTTCCTTATGTTAACAATGTATCTGAAAAATTCAAACCGATAGCCAATATGTTTCAATGCAAATTAGCATATACGATTCCGAATACACTGAAAAGTTACATCAAAAGAGGCAAAGATAATTTAGAATATAAAAGTAACCAAAATGTGGTATACAAGATATCCTGTGACAATTGTGATGCTAGTTATGTTGGACAAACTAAAAGACAATTAAAAACGAGACTAAAAGAACATGTTTCAGATATTAATAAAGTATCAAAATCCCCTTCTGTAATAACAGGACATAGATTAAAGTTAAATCATAATTTGAAGTGGGATATAATGTTGAAATTTTAGATATCGAACCTTCGTATAAAAACAGATTAACCGGTTAACTGGTGCAGCATTTTCCACTTTTCGTGCCAATTCTGGTAGAAGCGAATCATCCACTAAAATACGTGAAAACTATTTCTAGGAGGTTTTTTTGTGCTCCTGATTCCATTTCCAAGCTCAGTTTCCATTTTGCAACATCCTAAAGGGGTGAAAAATAAGGGTTGAGGGTGAAATTTTCAGTTTTTCTAGAAACTTAGATCTAGAGGTTTTTGATATTGCTGATTCCATTTCTAAGCTCAGTTTATATTTTACAACATTCTAAAGGGGTGAAAAATAAGGGTTGAAGTAGAGCAGAGAAGTGAAAAAATAAGGGTTGAAGGTGAAATTTTAATTGCTTTTAGAAACTTAGATCTAAAGGTTTTTGATATAGCTAATTTCATTTCCCAGCCTAGTTTCCATTTACAATGACCCAAAGGGGTGAAAAATAAGTGTTGAAGTGGAGAAGTGGAAAAATAAAGATTGAGTGTCAAATTTCATTTTTTCAAGAAACTTAGATCTAGGGGTTTTTGATATTGCTGTTTTCGTTTCCAACTTAGTTTTCACTTTTCATATACCTGAAGAGGTACATACTTCAACTGCCTGAAAAGAAGGGTTGAGATTAAAATTTTTATTTGTCTAGAGAAGCGACTCAAGAAAGTTTTCCTGTCTTGATATGTTTTTACTCTCCTCATCAAAAGTACGAGTTTGAAGAAGAATATACGCTCTAGTTGATGTTTAGTTCTTGCACCTCAGCAACAGAAAAACTAACTGAAAATGTCAACATCATCTCGAAAAAAATTACGGACACCATCACCCACATCTTCTGAAGACAGTATGTCTGATTTGGACATAACTGATGATGAATATTTTATGGAAGAGATTGCCGATACAGATGAAGAAAATAATTCATCGAGCAGTTCTGCTGAAAGTGCAGAGCAAGAAGATTTCGAAGATGTTGACTCGGATGATATCCCATTATCTGCAAGAATTGATCAGTTGAAAAAAGTTTTAACTTTCAATGAGAATGTTGAATTTGAACCACTAATTCATCCTTTCGCCGATCCTTATTCAGGATTGAAAGTTGAGAGTGGACTAGATGGTAATAGCTCTTTTATGGATATTTTCAAGGCATTCGTGCCAGAAGAGTTTGTAGAGATGTGCGCTGTTCAGAGTAATTTGTACAAAGAGAAGAAGTTAGTGGATCTAAGACAGGCTAAGAAACTGAAGAAAAATTCAAGGCTAAATAAATGCAATGATATCACTATGGATGAGATATACACTATTCAAGCAATGTTCATACTCATGGGGATAACAAAAAAGCCAACAATTGAAATGTACTGGTCTAAAGATCCTATGATTGAGACACCATTTTTCTCAAAATGTATGCCTCTGGTGAAATTTCAGAATATACTCTCATTATTGCACTTTTCAGATGAATATGATTCGTCAGATAAACTCCAAAAGACCAGTGATTGATCACTTCAATGATCGCTTTCAAAATATTTACAGACCTGCTAAGAATATATGTATCGACGAGTCTCTTATGAAATGGCAAGGACGATTGAGTTTCAAACAATTCAATAGAAACAAAAGAGCCAGATTTGGAATAAAGCTATATGAAACCTGTGACTCTAAGAATGGATATGTCTATAATTTCAAAATATATGTGGGAAAAGAATCGAACGATTCTAATCAAAAATCAGCACTCGGCGTCTCAGGAAATGTAGTACTAGGTGACTTAGGAGGACAAGGCCGAACACTGTATGTAGACAATTGGTACAGTTCACCCTGGCTATTCCAAAAACTGCATAATGAGAAAACGAATGTTTGTGGAATTGTACGAGCGAACCGCAAACATCTTCCAAAAGTAGATAAAAAGAAATTTGAAAAAGGAGAGATGAAAACTTTTAGTTCCTCGCTGATGACGTATGTGGTATGGAAAGATAAAAAATTGGTGACTATGCTCTCTACCAAGCATTCTCCAGAAATGATTACAACTGATAAAGTAGATCAACGCACTAAAATGCATGTACAAAAACCAAATCTTGTATTGGACTATAACAATAACATGGGTGGCGTTGACTTGTGTGATCAGTGTATTACACCGTATGATATCATGAGAAAATCGAAGAAATGGTATGTCAAAACTTTTTTTCATGTACTTGATCTTGCAATATTCAATTCTTATGTCGTCTGTAACATTATTCACCCTAACAGAAAGGTCAAATTTATCGAATTTCGCAGGCAATTAGCTAGAGAACTTCTTGAAAATTACAGCTATAAAGATGTAACTGCTTGCGAAAGAAGATACAGTAAAGTAAATCCAGTAAGATTCATAGTTCCTCATTATCCAGCTAGGATCGGGTCCGATAAATCTGTTAGAAAACGTTGTTCTATTTGCTGCCGAAATGGAAAAACACAGTTGGTTAGTACAATGTGTCGTGATTGCAATAATATTCCATTGTGTGTGATACCATGTTTTGAAAAATTCCATACCAATCAAACGTAATTGGTGAAAAAAAATTACCATAGTTTCATGAAGCTTCATCAAAACAACAATTATCATCTATCTTTTCATATTGTAACTCCGAAATTAATTTACAAATTCGAAATTCGAAAAAAAAAAACAAATAAAAGTCATAAAACCAAAAAAAAAAAAAAACAAATAAAAGTCATAAAACCAAAAAAAAAAAAAACAAATAAAACTCATAAAACCCAAAAAAACGAAAACAAACGAAAAGAACAATAAAAAAACAAATAAAACTCATAAAATAAAAAAAAATAAAAAAAAAATAAAAAAAAATAAAAAAAAAGAGGAGTGTAAAATCCTTCCGTAACCTCCTCGCCGGTACACTCTGGGGTCGTGAATTTTTCACCAGCTAACTACGGGGGTAAACACACCTGTGCGTGTACAGCCTTGCGCCAATGAGATGACGTTGTCTCGTCATTCTCGATTTAGGTCTTTCAATCGAGGTTCTAGTGTACTATATACGTTATTTTATGTCCGTTATCACAAATTATGCGAAACTGACAATTAATTCGCAATCAGCGACCCCGAAAACCTCAGTGTCGAAATTTATGCTATATAGAAGGTTGTCATTTTGAGGTTAGGATTCAGAATTTCAAAAAAACAACCAATTATTCGGATAGAGCATGCCGAAAAACGGTTGTATACCAATTTTGGTTCAAATCAGTTGAAATCTTCAAAAGTTATTCAAATATGTACATATATGATACAGGTACTGTATCTGGTAAGTTATGTCACTTTTTTTTTTGTACATATATGATACAGTACCAGTTATGTCACTTTTTTTTGTACATATATGATACAGTACCAGTTAACCGGTTAATATCTGAAATGGTACACATTAGAAAACAGACACACGGTATAAACAGACAAAATGACACAGAGTCATTGCCAGAAATGTACACCAATATGATACATTCCCTATCTTCGTCTTAAATCTATCTTTCCTTGTTATTTTTATTATTATATCCTTTGACTTTCTATTCCAACGACATTATTTTATCTTCTTTAGCATTGATACGTGTTTTTGACAGCTGCAAAGTATCTTATTTTATTACACCTAACAAATCTTATAATAAATTGACGCAGAATTACTTGTACACATGGATTTATCACAATTTTTATTTTATTTTTGACAAGGTATATATGACTTTTATATTTGTATTAGATTTTAATATTTTGTGACAAGGTTAATAAGACATTTAGTATTTGAATTTTTTAGACAAATTTAAATTTTATATTTTTATCAGGATCAAAGATAAAAAACACATATGAAGTCCAAGTCCAAAATGTATACACGGAATCTATGATTTTTTAGTATTATGAAGATTGTATAACGATAGTTTAATTTTAATGCAGATTTTGTATCATTGAAAATGACCCGATCGGTGTTGAAACGTCTGAATTTGTATTATTGTATTAATATATGAATTAAAATAATTTGTTAGATTAAATTGGCTCTACGCCCTAGTTACATTTTTATATAGTATTATTTTCAAGTTTCAGTCTTCATACTTTCAAGTAGATTGTAATCTATATACTGCGACGTTATTCGCTTGCGCGTCGCAAGGCGAAAGAAATGATGAGCCCTATCAGTCGAATAATGAATGTAATGAAGACACCAAAGGCGAAAGCGATCGAGCGAGAACCGCGAAACACGAAAGTTGGGCGCCAGACGTCCTTAAAGGTGACGTCGACCTCGCGAAAAATTCGAATTCCCAACGCGACACTACCAAACGCGAAACATACGCTAAAATCCCGGAAATTCTCGCTCTTACGCGGCTAGGCTAGCTCAACCAATGGTAGAGGGTCTTGGGAGAAGACAAGGGCTGCTTTGATGCAGGGAGAGTTAAGAGGAAAGATTACGCCGAGAGCCCGAAAATCATACTCTCAGTATTAAAATAACAATAAGCGGGTTTATTAAGAACCAAAAAAAAATAAAATAAATGACTCGATAATCTTTCGCTAATAGCGCGTGGAGAGATTGACAAACAAAAATTACAAAATCAATTAGAGCGCTGCGAACCCGCAAGAAAAATTATGCTCTTGGCTAAACAAAAATTACAGCGGTCAATTGCGCGCAAGAACAACGTATTTCGTAATACAAACGACGACGATATCCAATGACGCGAGAAATCCGTCGCAACATTACAGCCAATCAGCGAACGCGATATAATTTACCATCCCTCCGCGAATACGGACCCTCGAAAATTAAGTTCGCAAAACAACATCGCAAGGTGACTAAAAATAATCGCGAAGATTGCATACATCATGCAGAGTCACCCAAAATTTGCGCGAGAATATCAGTCGGCCCGCGCCGGGCGTACTGCCATACACGAGAACACACCAAACGAACAATATGCCGATTCTCTACGACTCAATCCAACGCCGACATCGCGTTTTACATAGCAAGAGCGCGCGACTCGCGCCGTCTCACTCACACCAGCGTCGATCTACAATATCACACAGAACGGCAGTCCCGCACGAGATCGGCGTTCCGGGGCTCTTAATTTCAACAATTATGGACGAGAACAGCACACGGCGTCTACGCCGTAAATCCACGCGAAAATCTAATACAACTGCTGTGCTACCGGTAACGAAAACCGGTAACAAATATTGCCCCTGAACGCTCGCTCTCGCGCTGCCGTCTCGCGAACGTGCAACACGCGTGCACGGGCTTTTACTTACGAAAGAAAATCGTAGAAGCCGTGTGCCCCTGTGGAGGGGGTGGGGTGAAAGTTACTTTGCGTGGAAGGTCAAAACCTATGTAGAATAGTATTTAATACTGTATATATAGCAGAAATAGGACGTTATTTTTGAAACTTTTTTTGTTAATATCTTTTTAACGAAGGGCGAGCGACGGCTAGTTGTTAAGGCAAAGTTACTCAGGGTCATGACCTTGATAACATATGCCAAGGTCAAGGTAATCGGTGCTGCCTCCCCTATTCTAAATAACTACCTGAAATTGTATCAACTATATCAATATAGACATTCCCATATATTATAGATACGTGGATGACACGTTATTAGCAATTCCTCAAAAAGAAATTAAAAAAGTTTTTGACACCTTTAATTCCTACCATAGTAGGATTAAATTTACACTTGAAAAGAGTATTGATGGTTGGATAAATTTCTTAGACGTAAAGCTATGCATTGAGAATGAAAGGATCTTATTTGATATTTTTAAAAAACCAACAAATTCTGGTAGATACCTCAATTATCATTCCAATCATTCATTATGCCATAAAAAGGGCGTTGTTACATCACTGTTCGATCGCATCCTTCTTCTTTCACATCCAAAATTCCACATTAAAAACATCCAAGAATTAATTAACACTTCAACTAATAATGGTTATCCTTTTGACTTCTTATTTGCATCAATAAATAATATAATCAAATCCTTTATACATAGTGAAAATAATGATATTAACTTACACAATAATGATACATATGCAAATAAAAAATTCTTTAGTGTTCCGTACCATAATAATGTATCTGAAAAATTCAAAAAAATTTTTGGTGTCGACTCTGAAATTAAAATAGCTTACAAACCAATCAATAGCCTAAACCAAATCATTAAATTAGGTAAAGACAAATTAGATAAATTTGACAATACTAACGTAGTTTATAAAATTGACTGTCTTAATTGCGATCGCTCATATGTTGGTCAAACAAAAAGGAACCTAAAAACTAGAATTAAAGGACATAGAGCAGATATAAAAAAACTACACAATAAATCAGTTGTTAGCAAGCATCAAATGGAATGCAACCATACAATGGATTGGGATAATGTCCATATTTTGGATAATGAACCATCATATATGAAAAGATCAATTTCCGAAATGATATTCATTAAGAAACAATTAAACGGTTTAAATTTACAAAGCGACACAAAAAAATTTCCAGAGAACTATATAACGACACTTTTAAATCATCCCCGCCATCCTACCGTAGATTCCCACTCCTAAAAATATTTCCATGTCAAAAGTAAAGAGGTTACTTGTAACAACAAATTCAAGCCATATTCTGACATTCTCTCTCCGTAACTTCAAGTCCGCACACGGATTTCGTCGAAATTTCCTTTGAGACAGAAGTATTTATTAATTATCAATTTAAATCTCATTATTCTTTTTTAATTAAAAGTCAGAAAGAAAAAGGAAAATATTTATAATTTTTTGTCTGGAAACTTTTGTTCTCAAATCATGGTCGATTCCATTGCTTAAACAAATTCATTAGCAGAATTGTAAGGACACGAAGAAATTAAAATTGTACATTGTTAATGTTTTTGATCATAATTGTATGCGAATCACTTTTAAATTGACATCATTTTTGTATGCGAATTGACGTTAGAATTGACATTGATAGAACCGATGAACAACATATATCTTATAATAATTGACAAGCATGTGAGAAATTGCGCCCCAGTACATATTATGATTTAAAATACATTAGGGGAATTAAATTAAAAGATTTTTGGTCATATACTGAAGATGGTCACATTAAGGACCGAAACGTTTATAATTATGTAATTTTTAGTATTATTAAATACACCAGATTTTTGCTACTTTGAACCAGCGTGTGGTATATGTTCCTTTTTCTTATTTTTGATTTCTTTTTTATTATATAAAATACTAAATCTTTTTTGTTAAAGGACAATGAAAAACAAGCCTTAACGGTCAAGCTGGATTACGGATGTTTCTAAGTAATTGCGTATGAACTTATGTACTACGTATGTAATTCTTCGATTGCGCGCCGAAATTTTTTCAGACTTGAAACGCAACACTAATAAACTACTGCAGTAGTATCACGAGTTAAATTGACTAACAATTTAACAATTATTGATGCTGTTTATGCATTTTATATCGATCTTATTAATGTTGAATAACCTATTAAAACTGTAAATTTAATTTTTTAATTCAAAAAATATTATCTCCGGTCGGGAGTGGAACCCGGATCTCTGGCATTCCGTGCGAGCGTCCCAAGCCTTTAGACTACTGAGGCCTTAGTAATATTCTTTACAATAATCAATATAAGTAAATACAACGTCTATTTAGGCAACATAAATAAACAATATCAATTCTTAAAAAAAAATTAATTATTAATTGGTTAATCAACACTATTGAGATTGATATAAGATGCGTAAACAGCATCAATAATCGTTAGATTGTTAATCAATTTAACTCGTGATATTACTGCGGTAGTTTATTATAGCGTTGCGTTTCAAGTCTGAAAAAAAAATTTCGGCGCGCAATCGAAAAATTACATACGTAGTATATAAATTCACATGCAATTATTTAAAAGCACTCGTAATCCAACTTATTGTTAGACCACTGTTATGTAGTTTCAATGAGAGCCACTTATAAGGATCACACTGTGGTTACGTTTTTATTATTTGATATTACATTTAAATCACAAATCTTGATCACGCATTACAGATTGAAATGTTCGCTGTATCACGACGAGTATCGTTCGTATAAGGTTCGACGCACTGTTGTTGCGACGAATAATGTTCGCATAAAGGTTTGATTCACTGGTATGGCTTAGGGGTTGACGCCCTGAGTCAACCACGTTCTAGGGGCTGTTGTCCAGATTTATTGTAATTTGATACGGATACGCGACAACGCCTAGAGAGAAGATCTCTTGAGTCGCGATCGGCTCGAATGACACGGCTCGGAGACAACGATTTTAAGTGAACTGTACGACAGTCGCGAGACGAATAATGAATAATAAAACGGAGACGGTTTTGAGAGATCACGAAGCAGTGAAAGAAAACGAGCCTCCAGTCTAATCCGGGCCCTTATCACGGTCAAAAGAACAAAGACGGACGTGAAACCTTGTCGCGACGGTACGACGCCGCAATCCATTTTTTGCTGCCGCGACCAACCGTCAGAAAAGCATTAACACTTGTTGACATAGGAGTGTGCGTGCTAACGCTGCCGTGTCAATGCCGCCAAACTTACTGCGCATCATCATGCATGACATAAAAGAGCTCTATGTAACAATCGCTGTGACATTGTCTTATTTGGTTTGAAATTTAAGGGTCGAATAAGAATTAATTAAAACATTTACCTTTCAAATCTAACACCTTTTACCATTTTTTAGACAACGTATGGATGCAGCGATAAAATTATGTTTCTGAATGTGACTTATTGTGTGTGTTTACATCAAAATCTACTTTTAAATCTTTTGAACCAATTACTCACAGACTTTTTGCATATAATTGTCTTCATAAATCTCATAAATTATTCTGAATGATTCAATAATGGTTTTATTGCTTTAAAAATAGTGAAGCAGGGTTGGGTAGTGTTAAATTAAAAAGTTAAAAGTTAAGTTAAAAAGTTAATTAATTTTAACTTAACTTAGTTACATTTTAAACTCCTAACTTTTTAACTTTATTTAGTTACATTTTATCAGTAACTAACAACTTTTTATTAATTTTTTTAAAGTTAAGTGTCAAATCTAATACGAGCCACACGTAATCAAAAATACGAATTCCGGCTAGAGATCCTATACGGAGAGATGGGCCAATGCCGACTGATCCATGATTGGCTCTGCCATGATGTTGTGAAACCGGATGTGAGAGTGAAAGAAGCGAATGTGAGAGTGAGAGAAGCGTTATCTGCTCGAGTATCTGCTTATGATTATAAGAAGTATTGTCATAGACAAAAATTAACGTAGACGAGTCTCTTTTACAGTAAGTAAGTTTAAAATCATCAAAAATGTATCACTAGAACTTTTGGAAAATATATATATATAAATATACATAAAAATTCATTTACAAATACATACATACATTTTATATATAAATTAACCTAAAATTGTTATTTTTTTTCATTCTGGCAATTTAATTGACTTTTTGCCAACAATTTGCACAAATTCGAGATCGTATGATTTATCAAGTCTTGTTAACTCACATTAAATATGAGGTTAGAAATCTGTGTTATGCGATAAGTTTCCACCAAATAAATAAGTAGTAAAGTCATTGTTTAAATATAAAATATTCATATCACTTCAGATTTAGTATCACTGTGTGTAAATGGAAAGCAACTTTTTTATTCGAATTTAATACGTTTTGCACGTTTTTGTCTATTTTGTCTGTTTTATGTATCATTTGTATGTATATATAAACTTACCTTTTTTTAAAAAAAAGGTAGAAAAAAGCGCTAAGGGTGAGTGCTGCTGGTCAAAAAACCATTTAGGCCAGTCCACCAACGTCAATTACTTAATCGACTGTGAAACTGACCAATCACATTTGCTGTTTAGTAGAACCATCTTTAAAAATCTACGTGATATTATCCTTATTTACTTAATTCTAATGACATGTATCATTTGTATAAAAGATTTGATATCAATAGTCGGCGCCAAGTTAAATTCTAATCTTTAAAAACCTACGTGGTATTATCCTTATTATTTACTTAAATCAATGACATGTATCATTTGTATAAAAGATATGATATCAATAGTCGGCGCCAAGTTAAATTCTACCAAATTAAAAAGTAAAACACAAGTGGTACCTTTAATCTTTAAGAGAACCCATATAGTACTATTATTTATTTAAATTCTACTAAATTAAAAAGTAAAACCCATGTGGTTCTATCTTTATCTTCATACAATGAAACCTAAGTATATGCCTTTGTATTCCTATTAAAAGATTTTCCTATTTGAAACCAAGTGACTTAATTCTTCTTTAAAAAAAATTATATCACAATTAATTTAAAAACAAAATGAAAAAAATTTATTTAAATAGAAAAATTTTTTATGTAAAAACACTTCGCGCTGCTAGAGCGAATAAGAAAAACAATGAAAACTATCTAAAAGCTATAATAATTAATACAAATATATATAATAGTAATGATAATTTAAAAATTATAGTAAACATATTCTAAATGCTAGATTTAATTAATAAATATACAGCTTACTTTTCTTTTTTTATGTATTTCACTCGCATATACTGTACGCGAATATATATACAGAATGCATACTTTAACTCTCGTAGTTTCTAATCTCTTTTATACAAAATGTTACATCCATATATAATTTTATTATGATGTTAGTATATATTAGGACAATGGGATGGGTATGGAGTTATGGGGAGAGAAAATTCAAGGGGGATGTAAGATGGAGGCTAAAACTGTTTGATAGTATAGTGAAGGGAATTTTATTTTATGGAGTGGAAATATGGGGGTACAGAAAGTGGAAGGAGGTGGAAGCGATTCAGGAAAAATATCTGAAGTGGACCTTGGGATTGGAAAGGGTTACACCGGGGTATATAGCAAGAGAGGAGTTAAAAAGAAATAAATTAAGAGTAGAAATGGGATGGAGGGCAGGAAGGTTTGAGGAAAAATTAGAGAAGGGAGAGGGAGGGGAAATCGGGATGATGTGCATGGATGAGAAGAGAAAGAGCGAAAGAGAGAATGATAGGAGTGAATGGTCAAGAGAAAGAGTGTGGAGAGGGGGAATTATCTATGGAGAGGAGGTATGAGCGAGGCAGCTATGAATGAATGTGGAGAGAATAAATGGGAGCTTCTGAGAAAAAGAGATATAGAAGTGGATGAACAAGAGAGAGGAGAGAAAGTGAGAGTGTCTAAGTCGTGTGCAAGTTATGGAAGATTGATTGGGGTACCAATATATGTAAGAATGTGTAAAAGAAATGAGGGTAAACGATTGGTAAAAATAGCGAGATGGAGATGCGGGAATGAAGAGAGGAGAAATAAGTATTGGGTGAAGCAGGAGGAGAGAAAGTGTAGACTGTGTGCAAAAGAGAGAGAGAATGTTGAGCATTTAAAGAACAGGTGCGAGTATGTATGGGAGAAAGGGGAAAGAGATGTAGATGTTTTAAATCAGGATGGGAGAGGAATCAGATGGATGGAGATGATAGAACGAGTAAGGGGGGGGAGAGAGAGAGAGAGAGAGAGAGATTTTTATGAAAATATTCTCTGTATTGATTTCAATTATAAAAACGGAAGAAACACAAGGAAAAAAGATAAACAGAATGTGACAAATTCTCTAACTTATATTATTATACGTGTTTATATTGTAATATATATTTTGATTTCTTTGTTAGATGATGAAAGCGGCACTGCGACCGAAGATGAGGAAGACGTGCGCGCGCGAGAGCTCCGGAAGCAAGAAGTATGGTTGACGGTGCCACCAAGCAATTGTGATACTGATACCGGTTCGGAAACAGAGGTGAAGCAATCTCAAGACTCTATAGATCCCGCTATAGTTCAAGAATCACTCATTTCTTTCGAATCCAAAGTAACATCAAAGTCGTCCCCAATTTTCAACGTGAATACAAATGATAATGATCTATCACCCGAGAAAAATACTCTCGGAGAACTGCTAGAATTCTCCAACGAGACAGCATTAGTTTCTAATGAATTAGCTATAAATATACACGATCAAGACAATATGATTTCTACTCATAAAAATGGTACATCTCTTAACGTTGTTTCGCAAGTATCTGAAAATGTAATTTACACAACTGATTCAATGTCTCTTCCAACGCCAAATAATACTAATAATATTTCGGATCAAAATAAATCTTTAACAAATACTACTCTTAATCACTTAGACAAAGAAGATTGCAATTCTGAGTACGAAAGTTTTGTGGACGAAAGTATTCGATTAGATTTAAACAAATTAAATAATAAAATTTACGACGATTGTTCCCAAAGTAATATTCTCGATGTTAACATAATAAGTCTTACACCAAATTCTAATAATTTCAATGCAAATGTTAATGATTTGAGTAGAAATAATTTAGTTAAGAATTCATTAAATTTATCTACAAATAATTTAAAAGAAGATTCCGCGTTAAATAGTTCGGAAGTTGATTTAAAAGCAGTTGCGAAAATTACAGTTGCAGATACTATACCTTGCGTTGGAACAAGCAAGGATTCCAGGGTTTCCGATAACGAAACTATCCTTAATGCTGATGATTTGCCGAGTGTGATCACTTCTTTGAATGGAAGCAGAAATTCTTTATCTTCTTCATCGTCAGAGATTTATCAATCGGTAGAGATGTTACATAGTGACAGTTCAATTATTAGCGATTACTCGGACAATTTAGTGGAATACTCGAAATATAATTTGTCTGAAGAAATATTTAAGTGTGAGGATATTAGTGTTACTAATCAAACCAAGGACAGTTATTTTATTAACAAAAATAGGAATGTTGAATTTATCAATGATAGTAATAATATTCACATAAGTAATAGTGTTATTGATAAGAATGTTGACATGCATTCAATAACTCCAATGCTTAATGCGAGCGTGTTACAAGAGTCGATACACCCAGTAGTAATAGTGACATCGCCATCTCCGACTCAAGAGACCCAGCTTGACGAACTATCTTTAGAAACTTCGAAATTACTGGTTCCCCAAGAATCGCATAGTGATCCGAATTTTGATAACTGTGATAATGCATTCGATAAGCTAAAGCGTGATTTAAAACAAAGAAAAGCAAAGAATAAAGCTATAGAAGATGGAAATAGACTCCGACCACTGTCAACTGAATATGCCCGGTCGAAAATGAGTAAATATTTTACGGAGACTAAAAGAATTGTTTCGAGAAGTCAAGTTCCTACACAAAGTGAGGAAGCTGAGGATATGTCTAATATGAAAATGATAAAGTTACATATTAAGCCCAAGTTATCCAATAAAATAAATGCAGAGGAAATGCTCAAATACTTTAATAAGATCGGAGAAAGAGAGAGTTCTTCAAGCAGTAACAAATCTAAGACTTCCAACATAATCGCTATTAAACAAAATGAAAGACGAAAATTAGAAATTGATATCGAAGAAATGAGCAACTTAGGCGAGAATGACATTGATGTGATTGATCAACAATTTAATCAAATCGAAGAGCAAAGTAAAATTGCAAATTTGGAAGATGATAAGATAGATTCGCAGTTTTATTCGTCAGAATTTGAAGTAGTGCTTAATGACGAAAAGAAAACATTATGCGATGGTTTAGATTTAATAAGAAATGGTCTTATTGAGTCAAATTCTCAATTAAATATGGATGGTGATTCATTAACATCGAATTCTGATATTCCTACATTAGAAAATAAATGTATTTCATATACCGATGCAGATGCAGATATAAATACTAACAATTTCAAGCTTCATACTGCTATGACTTCCAACACATTGACATTGCAAACAGATATAAAAAATAACGTTTATTTTAATATTACAGATGATATAAAAGAACAAGAAAAGATTAATCCAACAGACAACGTTCTGAATAGTGACATAAATGGAACAAATCAAGAAAAGAAAAATAATATAAATTTAAACAGCAATACAATAGACGAAATTAGAGAAAACAGTATAATTAAAACGGATGTACAGAGGAATATTTCAAATAATACAGAAAATGAAGAAAAAAGAGCGAATACAATGAATTTAGATGGAACCATACTAAGTAATGATAGTGATGAAAAACAAACTAATAAAACATATATTTCAAGTGATAACTTGAATAAAAATAATATATCAAATAAAAATTTGCTATTTGAAAATAATACACTTCTTAATGTAAAGTTAAATACTCCTTCACGATTAAATAATAATACGGATAAAATTATCAAATATAATAGATTGCATAAAAGTGATACTAATTTAAATGAAGATACAGCGCGAGTTTTTCTTAAAAGTATTAAGAGTTATTCTAAATCATTATTTGAATTAAAAAATACATTTAAAGATGAGTCCGCAGTAAAAACAAAAATCGTCGAGAGAACAGTGAGTACACCTATGAACATTAAAGATACGATTATAAATAATTTTGCAAAAAATTCTGTTGAAGAAGTTCCTAAAAGATCCGAACGAAAAAATGCGTCTTATGACATTAGTTCTTTTCAAAATACTTTAATAGAAAATCCTAATTTGAAAATTTCTAACACTGAACTCTCTCCGCCTGAAATTCCAGTAAGAAGAAAATTGGCAAAGAAGAACTTGAAACTTCTATCTCGAAATCAAGCTGTTGAAGATATGCCAAAACTACAAAGTCAAACTGTCGAAAATATTTCAAGATTACACGATCAGAGTAGCAATAATGTTTCTACCATTCAAAGTCAAGATGTGGAGAAACTTTCAAAAATTAAGAGTCAAGACGTTAAGTCTATTTCAGAATCAATAAGTCGAGATGTTAATGATGTCTCAAAAATTCACTGTCAAGATATTAAAAATCCTGATACTAATTCAATGGATGTTCAAAAACCAACAAGACGAAATGTCGCAAAATTACAGAGCCGGGATATCACAAATCTTTCGAAATTTAACAACAAAATTATAAAAGATGTTAAAAATACTATGATAGCAGAAAATCGTAATGTTACCGATATATCAAAATTACAAAGTCAAAGCAAAAATGTAGCATCGACTCAAGAAATTCATCATTCAAATTCGCATTTGTTAAATAAACCTGAGGAATCTATCAAATTTATTTCTATGAATAGTCAATCAAAGAAAGACAAGTGCGTAATTTCATGATGTTAATATAATATTTGTGCTATTATTAAATTATTTTGTAATGTAATGCTTTATAAGAAATTTTACTTATATATATATATATATGTTTTATTATAATTATCGAACTTGATACAACTGTTTATTATTTTTTAATATTAAAAGTTTGTGAAGGCTTCTACACTACATAAATAATTTTTAAATTATAAATAACTGAAAATTATTAATTTTTAATTAATAATTATTAATTAATAATTTTCAGTTATTTATAATTTGAAAATTATTTTTTTAGATTATATACATATACTTCTGTATACTTATCTGTTAAATTAATCCATATGTTTTTTTTTAAATGGAGTTAACTGTGTGAGGTTTGCGATTTTACAATTTATAGAGATTTCTGAATTGATAAATTATGTATTTCATAATTTCCCATCTTTAGTGATATTCTAAGATATCTTTAGTAGATATTGTAGTTGTGCAATAATTTAAATTTGGGAAAACTGTGAGATGTATTAATAAAGTAAACAAAAAAAAATACAAGTAAAATTCTTGGCTGATGGTGATTAATTTTTTAATTTTCAATGGGGCTAATTTTTAATCGACCAATTATATAAGGAGCATTGAAAAAAGGTAATCCATCTTGTTGTGTATGAATGGTGTGTTATTGAACTAATTTAGCATTAACATTGACTCAAATCATTAATTGTTTGTGTTTGCTTATTCTAAAAAAGTAGAGTTTGTTCATCAATATTAACTAATTCATTTAAAATTACCACCAGCCAGTACTTTATTAAATGTCTCACCAAGTTTTTGTTATAAAATTTAAATTCATACTCTATGATACGACATTAACTGCGATAAAATATTAGTTATACATATATAAACACTAGTTACAGAAATAACACATGTTCATTCAGAATCTCATTCATAATCAGAATATTAGCATCTATATCTGTCTTTATTCAACTTTTACTAATTTACTAAACTCTTGCTTATATTATTCTAATTCTATATTTATTATAATTTTTATTTATTTAGCACACTTTATTCCGTAGGTTGTATCTTCGGAAGATGCGTCGACTGATGAGAGTGTAGAAAATTCCGCAACTGAGATCTCGACCGACTCTGAGTTCGAGCACGATGAAGCGACTCCGACACAGCATGAGATTCCCGAGATTACCATCAACGATTCTTATGTGCGGAAAACGAGAGGCGCTTATGTTGAACCGAAAAAAGTGCAGGTGAAGAGTAAGATGATCTCTTCGATTAATGGCAACTTGACGCAGGACAAGAAACAACAAAATACTAGCAAGCGATTTTTGGATGACCATATTAAAGTCGAATCGAACAAAGAAGTAAATTGTAACGTGCCAGCTTTTGTTGACACAAATAACTGCACACCGTTGTTAAACCCACGAAAGGGAGATTATCTTTTAAATCGCACTCACTCCACCGGCGGAATCGCTTCGAGGCTCTCTTTAGAATTGAAAAAACGTTATCTACTGGGAGGATCAGCGTTGGGTGGTTCCGTCATAAAATCAGGTTCGACATCTAATGTGGACACGAAGTTGAGGAATTTTACTGATGCAATCTCCCAGCATCAAAAGTTGTTAAATCCGGCGCCGGAACCTAGTCCTACCATGCAGGCATTTCTTCAAGGTATCTTTATTTTTACGGTTTTATATTTTTTCAATAGTTTTTCATTATATTAAAAAAAAATTTCTATATTATTTTATAACATTTCTAATACTCGAAACTTTCCAATGACATAAAACAACATTTATAATATATTAATTACTAAGAAAAAAAAATTGTAGAATGTTATATTATTGAAAATCATCTTTTATGTACATGAATGTATTTTTTTAAGGTACTAGTAAATTGCGAACCAACAATGCATCGCTTTCTCCATTATCGCCTACAATTTTATTTTCACGACAATTGTCATCCGATCACTGCCAAAATTCATCGAATGAAATTGCGAAACCGACAACTTTGATAGAAACATCTACGACGCGACAACTACCTGATTTAGTAAAAGAATCCAGTATTTTGAAATCTAAGACAGCACCCAACATTTGCAGTGAATCATCAATGAAAGACAGAGAATTAATCAACGAACAAGTATTTCTACTGCAAACTAATAACTTGACGAAGACCGCTGTACAGGATATAAAAAGCTCGCAAACTGAGAAAGTTTTACCAAATAACGCGGAAGAAAGTAATGATTTTAGACCACGTAGTCCCCTTCACGAAACGTCTATTGTTGTGCCGCAAGTGGATTGGAGCAAGAAGAACGAAAACAAGGATGTTAGTTCGGGCGATTCTGAGATAGATAGTGATTCATTATCTTCTTCCGATTCTAACGAAGCAATAGAGAACGAACAACTTGTTGCTGTAAATCTTTCGCCGCCTAGATTACGGATTCACAGCACTGATGGCGATCTTTTATTGGATGAAGGAGTTGATCGATACAAGCATTATAATCCCGACGATGGCCAGACTTTCGAGCCAGATTCTATCGAAGTCTCCTTTTTACAGGATCGTCAATTACATGATTCAATTAACAGTACGGATACTATTGAAATGATAAATAATAATATGGAACAATTAGACTTGCGGGATAACAACTGCAGTAGTTCTACTTCTGAAGCTTCAGCAGTGTCTAATAAACAAGATGATTCCGAGGAGAACGACATTACCACTGCAGCATTCACCGAAACAGAATTTTCTGAATGGGCTCGCGACGGGGAAGCTTTGGTTTCTGAAGACCTTCGCGATGTAGAACTCGATATCGATCCTGATTTCATCACTGTGCGAAGGAATAATTCAAAACTATCATCTATATCCGCTAGAATTGTTAAAGAAGAAGATACGCAATTCGAATATTCCAATATTGATCGGGTAATCGATCAGCAAGAATACCCAAACAATAATACGTCAAAATTGTTAGTCAATGGCGAAGATATTAATTATATGGACACTGACAATGAGTCACTACTGGATGACAGCCTTCAAGATGCCTCCAATATCGCGATGCTGAAAAATCGAGGCTACATTGAGTTCGTCAACATCAAAACGACTCTTTCCAACATTCCTGTTTCAACTAACATATGCAATCTACCAATCGCTGATGCACCGATAGCGAGACTCGATCTGGAAAACGACTCGTACGGTGAAGAAGAAGAAGAAGGTTTCAAAGATGCTAATGTGATTGAGATTGATCCAATTACCATGGAGGACGTGATGGGCAAATTAAACGATCCTATTGCGAGCAAATCATCGATGAAATCGGAAATTCGAACTGAGGAACAAAATAAATTTAAGGAGAACACGAAGCGGGAGCAATTAGCAGAAGCTTTTAACAAAGAATTACTTCAATCCATGGAGGAAGATAGTCTGTTACTTGTTGAACCAGCTGAGGATACGACTACTAGTGAAGTCGTTACAGTGCTTGCCAGTCCGATTAATCCTCAGGTATCAATAGTTCCTGTAGAAATGACAGAGAAACACGAGGAGGTAGCCAAGGCGGATTCTAACAATCCAGACTATCTGGAATACGTAAAGAGATTGCAATCTCGAATCGCAGAGTTTAGCAACGCCAAGGATTCCATTGACGTAAGAAAATCAAGACGAAAAAATTCGAAAAGCTTAGCGCAGACACGCACCGCAGAAATGATTACTGAAGAGATTAAGAGTCAAGAAACAATGATTGTAAACGGTAATGGTATCAATTCACCAGCGACCTCAAGGAAACTTGAAGAGATTACAAGAGAACGGTCGAAGCAAAAAGATCTTATTCAAGATCTTCTGATGGATAAACTTGAAGCTCACAAACAAAAGTCAGCTGAAAAAAAGGCCCGAAGAGCTGCCAGAGCTTCATCTTTTACCACCGGACTGTCACCGATAAAACCATCATTATCTAATATTTCTTCCGTTGGAAACAAGTTTGTACCTACTTCTATAACGTCACCATTAAACAGTCCTACTCACACAAGTTTTGGGGAAGCGAACAAGTCGAATCTTTCGATGTCTTCGTACTCTTGTGAACAAATCAATCAAGAAGAAGCCAAAGAAAAAGTCCCAAAGAAGGCAGACGAAAAGTCGATTACTAGTCTAGAAGATGCTTTTAAAACGCCAATTGCACCACCAAGATTGAAAATCGAGGAAGCGAGGAGGACCACTGAAAAGGCCAGGCAGGATGCTCGAGAACGCGCTAGAATGAAAAGCGACGAAGACTTAGGTTTAAGTCCTGAAGACAGAATCAAGGAATTAAGAATGAAGGTGACGCGGAGGCAACTTTCAATGGACGATACGAAAAAGGATGATACGCTGAAGATTGAAAAAATTAAATCGTACAACTTCAACGCAATAGATAATTCGGAGCTGAAATTAAAAATTAGTAAAAGTACCGATAATATGAAAAACATCGCAAAGAAAATCAACTTCCAAAAACTGCCAGCGACTAACGCGAAATCGATGGACGAGATGCTAAATACTGCAGGTCTATCACTTTCGGATAATAATAGTATAATCAAACGGGACAAGAAGCCGAAGGACTCGGAGAGAAGAAAGAGTATTATACAGGCGGTTTCAGATTTCTTCTTCAAAAAGGAAACAAGTCCATCGCCCAATCAGAAGGACAAGTTATCAGTATTTCGACTGACTTCAAGAGGATCAAAAGGAAAAGTAAGAATTATTATGATTATGATTATGATCATCATCATCATCATCATCATCATCATCAATATTATTATTAATGTGTAAAGTGTTCTGAGAAGGAAAACTGTATAATGTATTGTTTCTATGTATAAAACACAGATTGATAAAGCTAGTCCATCGAAATGCAACATGAGACCTAAAAGTGTATGCGAGGATATGCTTGTAGGAAATTTCCTCACTTTCGAAAAGCCACCGCCTGTGCCCCCACCACCGCTTAATTATTCTACATATACCACTCAAGTATCAGGTATGACTTATACAAGTATTGTTATCATTTTACGAGAATATGTTGTAACATTATTTAAATTTCAGAGTATATGCATCTGCTATATGCACATTATACTTTTTGTGATGATAAATACATAAATTATTTGATTTTATCTTTGCAAAATAACAATTCTATTTTTTGAGTTATATTTTGTATGCTATATTTTAAATTTTAATAATTCTTATATTAGAAAATAGAAAGTGATGTATTGTAATGTAAGGCTAAAATCTCTTTTATATTTATATCTTTCTTGTTAATTGTTTTGTTAATGATGTAAAGGTACAAAATAATATTGTATTATAATAATTTTATACTTTTATATTTTAGATGACAGTTTATCGGATGATGATACTAAAACAACTGCTTTATCAGCGTCATGCATGCAAAAAGTTACGGCAACTGAAGAATCGTGCAATAGCGTTTCACGTAAATTAAAGACTGCTAAAAAAGTAGCTAGACAAGCACAATTAAAGAGGTAAGACATAATATACTTATGTTATATTTGAATATAAAGACTAACGTTCTAAAAGATAAATAAGCATACTTATATATGCTTGTAGTGTAATTTTAATTAAAAAATTCTGCTAAATTAAATATATTTTAAAGATTACGAATGGCCCAAGAAATACAAAGGAAACTGGAAGAAACTGAAGTGAAACAAAAGGAATTAGAAAGCCGGGGCGTAAGTGTCGAAAAAGCGCTGCGTGGTGAAGGAGGTAATATAATATTCTTTACATATACATATATATCATATCTTAAAGTTTTTAATTTTAATCTTTGTTATTACAGTTTATAAAATTAGTATAGATTAAAATATGATATTTTTCTTGTATACCTAATTTACTATTATATGTAATTATATATATGTAATTTCTAATTTATTTGATTTGATCTATATATTAATCTTGAATTGCTTCTAATTTAAAAAATTAAGTAAAAAATAATTGCTACAGGTTTAATTGATAAAATGTTTTTTTTAATATTTTATACATGTGTGTATGAAAAGAAATATAATCTGAAATATTTAATAATTTCATTTAGATTCCTCCAATCGTGAAGAAGCTGATTTGCTTAGGGAATGGTTTGATCTAATGAAAGAACGTACGGAACTGCGTAGATATGAAAAGGAACTTCTAGTGCGTGCGCAAGAAGTTCAATTGGAAGATCGTCATGAACGATTGCAACATGAATTGCGTGAACGATTAGCTGACGATGGTAAATATTTCTAAATTTTCTAATTATTAATTTATTATTTTATTGAATTGTTCAAAAAGTTTGTTTCAATTTTCTAAATCAAAATTGTATATATACATCTTCGTAAAAATTAACGAAATTTAAATTAAACAAAAAAAAAAGGCTAAAGCTTGAAATCTTTATTTTCGGAAGATTACTATATTTTTTAAGCTTTTGTGAGTTCACAGTAATTTTTACATATAAAGAACTGCGAGCTGAAAAAGATAAAAAATTTTCTGGATTTTTCACATGCCTAGAATGTTAAGAATAAATATATTATTTCTTAGCATAAAATTTTTAGATTATGTGTATATAAGTACAATTGTTATATAAATTGTAATGTAATTTTTCACAGATGATAAGAAGACTAGTGACGATGTTAAAAAGGAAGGAGAAATCTTGACGGAAATGTTAGAAATAGTAGCAAAAAGGGATTCCTTAATCGCCCTATTAGAAGAAGAACGACAAAGGTGGTGTAAATCATCGTACTTGACACCTATTACTTCTACAAATGCATGTTATGTCCATATTTTTAATATTACCTCTCACAAATCTGAGTATTTATCCTACATTTTCAAATTGTTAATTATTTTATTTGTTTATATTTTCTCAATTTATGTAATGGAAATATTTATTAATTGTTATCAGAAATTGTTAGCATCTCTTTATATAGATTTTTTTTTATAGTAATTGTATGTGATTTTTTGGAGTAAGAAAATAAAGATGTAAAAAGTTATATGTTATCACTATTTATACATATGTAAAAAGAAGGAATAAGCTAATAATAGAATGTGTTTAAAATTATTTTTTAAATCTAAATGTTTTTTTTTTGACAGAAGCTAGAACGAGTGTAAATATTTTTAAAGGAAAATGATGATTTGGAATACATTTTTATGAATATACTGTTTCAAAACAAGTTATATATAGTATTTTTTTTTAAATTAATACAAATATATTTATTTCTCTTTTAGATATCAGAACGAAGATCGCGACCTCGAAGCTCAAATGTTGGCTAAAGGCCTGAGATTAACACCAATTAAGAAATGTGGTCCTAAATATTCAGTCTAAGGAAGATACGCTTCTGTACATATATTTTCCGCTACAATTTTTTATTGCATGATAACACCAGAAGAAAATTATATATATATAATACATATATACATGTATGTGTATATATATTGTATATATATATACATATATATAAAATATTGTAAATATTTTAGGTGAGATAAAAGAATTTGAAGAAGGTAGAAAAGACTCGTATATGCCTAGAATATATTTCTGCCCATTTTCAATATATTCAATATATTTAATAAACATATCTTTTTTACAAATATTAACATTTTTTATTTTATACATAAATTTGATTTGTTACATAAACGTGAAATTCTGCTCCATCGTCATATTATTTAGGGTACGTTCTATTTTCACACGCTCACTCGCTATAAGCATCAGTTTATCCTTAATCAATATTAAACTCAAATATTAAACAAGGCTAAATAATGCTTACAAGTGCTGTAAGCGCAAACGCACCCTTGATTGTAAAATGCGCGCGCGCTTGTAATCACTAAGTGTAACATAAAATAAGATTTTATTATAAAATGTTAGAATGAAGTGACTGGGCATAAATGAATAACTAGATTTAATTGTAAATTTTCTTGCAATTCTGAGGTAATTTCATTAGTTTTTAAAAAATAAAATGAAAAATTATAAAATAGTTTTCTTTATTTTATTTTTAAAGAAAAAAGAACCAAATTATATTTTATAATTCTAGGGTAAAAATCTCTTTAAACGTTATGTGCAAGATATTTTTGAAATTTCATATGTATTTTAACAATATGGTAATGCAACCAAAGGATGTAATTTTTTTTACAGCTATTTATATTTGAAATACAACAACAAATAAGTTCTTGCAATGATAATATATTTTGATGAAGGGAGCAGGAAAACGTTTATGTATTTTCTGTATCAGTGTGTAATACTCTTTAAAAAAAAACACACAAATTTAGACAGTGAGATCAATTTTTCGATAATGGTGACAGATACAGCTTCGAATTTTGAGGCTGTATTGAGAATAATTGAAGATCTTGTGTTATTTTGCCACATCTATCGCTGTTTTTAAAATAGCTTTTATTGAAATCTATGCGTAACTTTGTCAAAGAATGTATAATATGTACATATAGATACGTACACACGCACAACACTTAAACCCGTGTAATGCTAATATTATTTTCGCATTACTATGAGACTGAAAGTACTAAAATAATCAAAATACAAAGTATCTTTTATTTCATTATTTATCGAGTCATATCGGTAATAAAAAAAAAAAAAGAAAGAACGGAAAGAAGCGATTCATGAAATTCTTAAATATAGCGTAAAATTGAATATTATACATATTATATTTGAGAAATGTTCGTTTTTTAAAAAAGTTTGACGCACCATTTGATGAAACAAAATTTCAGCTTTCAGAATTTGTTTCTTTAATTGCGTTACAATTTTTAATGGAATTGTGGGTAATTAAAATCAAAATGCTCCTTTTATTTAATATATTCGCTATAACTTAGTAACTAAAAATTTTAGAAGCAATTAAAAAAAATAATTTTGTGAGGAAAGTTTTGAGCTTTTATATTAGAAAGTCGAAAATATTGTAAACTTTCTAAGCACGTGACAAGTCCATAAAGTAACAAAAAAAATTTTTTTCAGTATCAGTGCACCCTTCGTCCTGATGAAGTGAACGGCAGGCATGGTTCACGAAACGTTGGCATTAATAATGAAGAAAGACACGGCGATAACCCGCAAACCTTCTGGTATAATTGAAGAAAATATCCGTAAAAGCCTCAAAAGCGTAATAAAAAAAAATTTTTATTTTATCTTGCTCATAGTTTTCTATGTATAAAATTACTAAACTCAAAAAACATGATGACTTTTTAAAAATAGAGATTTTAAGCTTTAAAACTTGTTAAATTTAAGTTTTGTTCATTTTTAACGAAGTTATGGCTGCTATTAATGTAATACGAAAACCGGATTTGATACTTAATGGTCAGTATTCGTAGTCAATTCTTATATTCAAGACTATCTTAAGTTCAGTCTTGAGATGTCACGAACCAATTGAGACTAAATTATTGACATTGTAATCGTATGAAAATCTCCAAATTGATTAATGTCAATAATTTGGTAATGTAATATCAATATTTTGGTCACTCCAGCATCCCTTCTATACATTACTTAAAACAATCTTAACATAATAATCGACTATGAATACCAGCCAATGACCTAATATTGAGTTGAAGAAAGTTTTTATATGTAAACGAATCTTTATTTTACAATATCTTCGTTAAAAATGAATGAAATTTAAATTTAAAGAAAAAGGGTTTTAAAACTTAAAATCTCTATTTACGAAAGATTACTATATTTTTTAGTTTGGTAATTTTTATAAAAAACTATGAGGTGCAAAAGATAAAAAATTTTCTTTTGCAGCTCACACGCCCAAAAAAAATTTGCCAAAATTTTCGACTATTTCGTGAAAGCTAGAAGCTTACTCTACAAAATCATTTTTTTTTAATGATCCTACGATTTTTTGTTCTTGAGTTATTCGCTAGTTAAGTACAGGGACAGTCTGATTTTAATACTCATTATTCAGTTAAAAATCATCATACCTTAATTAAAGAAACAGATTCTTAAAGCTGAAACTTTGCTGTATTGAATGATATAATTGCGAAAATTTCGCAACAAATGGTGGATTGTGGAAGGGTTTTTTTTACATACATATATGTAAAAGGACTTTTTCCAATCTAATATGAAGAGTACACGTTCGGATCGATCAGCGCTATTTGTGTCATTCTATCTTCATCAATTATTAAATCTAAAACAAGAATGACATAAATAGTTGTTAATTGCGTCTTCCCGGACACATCTAAAGTGAATCTTACCGGTGTTTTGTTTCAAATTTTTCCGCGCATTGCTCTGATTGGTGAAGGCGAGGGAGTAGCCACCCTTTATTGCACCGATGGTGCGAACGGTGTAAAATGGTGCTGACGCGCGCTCGCAGCGGCGCACAGCGTCCAGCGCATCAGCGTCAACCGTCACCCGCGTTTAGTCGATGCGCGCAGTTTGTGGCAGTTCGTACGTGTGACCGGTGTTGTATGGTACGCGGGTACACCTGCCTCCGTTGATCGCTTTCCTCCGCGTAGAAAAGAATTAAGAGAAGAGGAAAGGAGAAGGATTCGAAAAGAGCGATACGCTAAGTGGCTTGTGCGTCGGAGTGAATATCCTGAGAGTGCCGTGGAAGAGGTGAGCCCGCGAAATGAGTACTCCGGTGAAGAAGGTACCCATTCATCTGCAGGTGAGTGCGTTTTTCAGCCAGTTTTAACACCTGTAAGCTCCCCGCTGCGCGGCTATTACTTTTCCAGAAAAGAAGGAAACATTGTAATTTTTGGCTATGTATATACGACGATATGATGAGCCGGATGAGCGAGGGACACAGTGGTTCGAGATAAATCAGCTCTATTCACGTGACTTGTACTTTTTACACTCGATATATCCTCGCATTTTTTTTTTTTTCCTTAATGAACCAATATATGTATATTTATCTCATATTAAGTACAAAAATTTTAGGAGGTTTCCAGCAACGCGAATAGATCTATAAAGGTTATTGAATTCAAGTTCCATCGCTCTGCTGTGAAATTTCGTCGTCGCGTCTGTTGGGCGTTAACAAGATTTTCCTCCTGTTTTTGTATATCGTATGAAAATTGTGGAGCAACAGCAAAAACAGTTTATTTTTGAGAAAATGTTTTTATCAGGCTCGAGCGAAACTTGATCTTTTTTTGGATCATCTATTTTAAATGCGTACCGTGAAAGTCTCAGTCATCGAGAGTCATATTTTGAGAGAGAAATGTTTGAATAAATACTAATTTTGAGAAAAATATTAAACGTTGAGAATTGTACTATTTTGATTTATCAAAGGGTACGTCTGTCACTTTAACGTTGACGTTAAAAATTAAGATAGAATTAGAGCTAATGATCTAATTTTGTTTTAATTTCTTTCTCGCTTTCTCAAACGAATTAAAGCCACTTCTCAATTTTACCCATTTTTACGTAAAAAAAAATTTTTTTTTAATCGTACCGATTTTTACTATCTTATGTATTTAAAAATTCGATTTATTCAAAATAGAGCTTGTAATAATTAAGCTAAAACTAATTAGTGAACGTGAACCAATTGTTGGACAAAGTGATCAAATATTTTAAATATTAAGTTTTTGATATGTACAACTTGTATTTTTATAAAAATTTAAATAATGAATATATTTAGAATCGTACAGTTAAAAGCCTAATATTTGAAATGCGTTATCAATTTGCGCAACAATTGGTTCACTAACTGGCACTTTTACTTTATAACTTTTATTTTTAGAATTGTTTGCAGCTTGCTTTAAAAAATCACAAAAAATAACAATTGTTAGTTCATACATACGTATTGAAACTTAAAATGTAAAATTCGCTATGGGGATGAGAAATATCAATATACCTACTAATATCCCTGATGGAAGAAAAATTTTGTTGAAATTAATCCACGTTTTGGATTATTTTTTAACAAAATTTCAGAATTTCACCAAAATTTCAGTTTTTATTTCAGCGATTTTTAGCTGAAAAATTTATTTTTAACAAGATTTTCGAAAAATTTTAGTTTTAGCAACTTTGCTGAAATGTTTCAAAACATGGAATATTTTCGACGAAATTTTTCACTAGATAACGATATTTGTAGTCGGTAGTTCGTAGATATATTTAAACGGTAAATAGATACATTTTTTATAATCGATATCTCTCTCGGTTAATAGTTGATATAATATGGACTTGATTAAAAAAAAATATACATGAGACGATTTAATCGTGCTGCCGATTGCATGAGAACTCTTTGCGATACCGTTTATCTTATTGAGGTTATCGTTTGCATATGACATAATATGCATTTAATCGGAATAACACGGCTGCTAGAGATTACTTGTTCTATTTTTTGAATTTTATGTATGTGCATGCGTGTTTATATCTCGTTAGATAAGTGGTATAAATTGTTGACTTTACTTGTCTGATTACTTGGTGTATACATGATCATCATATATTTTTGAAGTGTAT